CATCTGTCATATTCAGTCCACTGATACCTGGTGTTAACGCAGCATATAATTTTCTTTTTCTTTTTTTATTATTATTTTATCTCACCAACTCGCTTTTTGAATGTTAATTTATAAATTTTTATTTATTTTTTTTGTAAAAAAGCCAAGAGATAATTGTCCTAGAAATGTATTTAATTGGATAATATTTGTATATTAAGCTTCATTTCGTGATTTAATATTGCATTTCTACGCACCAGGCCGGCAGTAACCCATTCTTTGGAATTAAGACAACCAACATACTGCGATAAGACTGCCACGAGTCAGTCTGAAGCGAGCATTTGTAGACATAGGGTCCATCTTAGTAATAGACAGTCCCCCCACCCTCACCAGCTGCTCCGGCTCAACCACTACACTGGCCTACTTTAGCACCATCTTGCTCACCACAGCTGGATAGATCGGCGGTCATTGATCAAGATCGATATGTGTATCAATACCCTCCACCATCGACTGCTTGAGGTAACCTTGTTGGGAGTAGTGCTATCTATCTCTCAATTGGATATTTTTCTTCTCACCACCGTTACAGAAAGACATTTAAATATTGGTTTAATTTTTTTTCCTGTTAAATTGTTTTATTTTTGGACATTGAAAGGAACTAGAAAGTTATTTTTTTTCTTGTTTTTAATCTCTAATTTTAGAAGTTTTTATTTTATTAATGTTATTCTTAATGGACAATTTTTTTTTATTTTTTCATTGGTTTATATTTATGTTTTATTTTTATTTAGAAACTTTTATACCATTGTGTCATTCTATTTTGTTTTTAACTATATATATATCTCTTTTTTTTTTATTCAATATAACTCTGTAAACGTTCAAAAAGGGGATTGTTTATTTTTTTCATCCTTTAATTAATTGAATATTTTTATTTAATATTGTTTATGAGCATGCATTTCACCTTGCTTACAGGTCCCATTTTTTGCTTCTTTTTCTTCATTCCCTTCATTTTAATTTTACTTGTATTTTCCCACCTTTGAGGAAACTCACTGGGGAAAGGATTGTATTTTAATTTTGAAATACCCTTGGCCCCAACACCTGGCTAGGCTTATTTATTATTGATTCTCCTCATAACCTATTATATAAATTCCTGTTTCCTTCCTTTCATCCCACAATCTTATTGAAATCTCATACAATGTTTCTGCTCCTAAACTTTAATCCAAACAAATTTCCTGGAGAGATCTTGATTTATTAACCACTGAAAAAATCAGCCCTTTGCTCGATTTCCTATCTGCTTCCTTACAACTCATTTATCCTCTCCCCTCCATCGATGAAATGGTTGAATGCTTTTCCTCTAACCACCTTGATTTAGTTAATCATCACACACCTTAAATCTTAAAACACGTATCTTTAGATGTCCTCCTGCCCTCTGGATTAATACAGAAATAAGAGAACTAATGAGGAGAAGAGAGGCTGCTAGAAGACGCTACAGGCATACTTGACTACCTCAGCATTATTCCATATTCAAATCTCTACGAAACCTCACACAAATATTCTTATGCCATGCAAAAACCCAATAATTTAATAATGTTTTGTCCCAAGCACCCAACCCTAAATGCAATTGGACAATCCTTAAGAACCTCTCTGTTGTTAGCTCCAAAATCTGCACACAATATCCAGTCGATCTAAACAAGCTAAATTCTTTTTGTGCTGACCAGCCTCCAACTACATTTTCATCAGACCATTCAATTTTTACCATCACTGAAGCACCCTTTGATCCTTATAAGTTTTATTTTCTCAATATCTCTCCTACTGACCTACTTTTTTCCATCCTTAAATCTAAATCCAAAACCAACCATTATGGTCCTAACCAAATACCTGTTAAAATTATCAAACTCTGCCTTCCAGCCTTATTCCCCGCACTTTTACACATAATCAATTTCTCTCTCCCAAATTCCATTTTTACCAGAGCCTGGAAAAGAGCCATCGTCTGCCCGTTAAACAAAATTCCTGCTTCTTCATCAGCTTCCGACTTCAGATCCATCTCCATTTTATCCAATCTATCCAAGCCTCTATAAAGATTAGTCCACTTTTAGTTGAACAAATTTCTCAAACAAAAGTGTTCCTCAATCCTTTACAATCTGGTTTTTGTTGCCATTATTCCATCCAATCAGGCTCGCTAAAGATTGCCCAAGTCCTCCAATCTTCCATAGATAAACAGAAAGTCTCTTTTTCAATCCTTTTTGACTTTTCCAAAGCCTTTAATTCTGTCAATCATAAGACCCTCCTTTCCCAATTTCATAGACTGCCCATATCAAATAGCATTCTAAAATATTTCCTCTCTTTCATGTCACTTCGCTCCTAGACACTTATAATTCATGACAAACCTCCGTCATCAACTCTTCAATTAACATGAGGTTAATTGTTCCTCAGGTATCCTCGTTCTCTCTGAGCCTTTTTTCCATTTATATTAGTGATCTTCCTGCCTCCATTCAGCACTCTCATTATCACCTATATGCTGATGATTTCCAAATTTACCAATCATTTCAAACTTCCTGCCTGAGGCTACCTGAAAGCTACAAGAGGATATCGACTGCATCAACAGATGGGCAGAGATAAGTGACTTAAAGCTGAACCATACATCAATCCTCGTCCACAAATTCCTTCAAACAACTCCTATTCCAATACCTACTTTATATTCAAACTTCTGCAAACGTGTAAAATCTACTTGCTTATGTACACTGTATAATTCAATCAACTGAGAAATCGCAAATGATATTGACAGTTAATTAAGCATCATTTTGTATACTCCAAGCCAGACTAATGTTCATAATTATGAAACTCCGTTATTATCCTTAAAGGACTGTAGTCTCAGAATAAAATTATTTTTCCGTTTCATTTTAAGGACAATAAGATGGATAAAATACCTACTAGCAGTATAAATTGTCTTCGAGGATGTGTGAGTAATCCAAAACGTAGACAAAAGAACATAATAAAGATAACTATGAAAGAGAAATTTTTCATTATATATACCTAGAAAATTACTTTGTTTTTACCTACTGCCAGTCAGCTTACTGATCAACATGATATTGGGCCAGATACTAAATCAAACTGAAGATCAGAAGCTGCAAAATAATAACAAAATTCATCTTTCTGACAAATATAAAATAATGACGAGATTGCAGATATTTAGTATCATTATTTTACTACATTAATTAAGTTTTCTATTATTATTATTTTTTATTTCCTTTTTACAAACAAAAAAAAGAGAAGTAATTTGGTATGTTACTTTTTATCATCCCTCCCAATACTAGATGAAGAAAATTACACTTACTACCACCAGGTTTACACTTTTAATTACACTTACTTCTGCATTATAATTTTCAAATTTTTATTATTTCTTTTGAGTTAATTGAATAAATCACATTCAATATTCCCAAATTAATAGAATTTAAGGAATATTAATTAGAAACTAAATAGTTTTAAAGTATTTTTTGATTTTTTACTTTCACTTATCTATACATATAGTAAGTACTAATACATAGTGTAATGTACACCTTTATTGGAAGTGAGTAAAAAGGGTTTAATAAACTAATGTTTAACAATTAAAAGGCAAGCTAATCTAGTTCTACTAGTGCAAAGAAAAGAAAATGGCTGCTCTGTAGTTTCCCAAGAAGGAAAATCTCAAAGAGGAGAGGGACAAAGGTTTTTGTTTTGGTGGGTAGTTGGTTTTTGGCTGGGGTGAAGAGAGAATGGGAGAAGTGTTCCTGGCTCCAGTGGGTAAAACCGAGTAATAGTATTACCATCTTGGAAGTTGTGTTTGGCAGAACATTAGAAAGTATTTGAAGACAAATGAATTTAGGGCAACTAAGGAAGAAATAGTATCTATAGAAAAAAGGCTTGCCAATCCAGATTTGACTTTATTATAAATCAGTGTTTAATTTTATTATAAATAGTGTAAATAATAATAGTTTGTCTGAGTTGATCTGATTGTCAGAAACCCACATCTGGGATAAATAAATATATTAATCCTCTTATAATTTTGTTTATTATTATAACAACCTCTTGTTTCTTTTGGAAGTATCATAGCGGATAAAGTGATCTTCCAAGGTTATATTACTATTATTTGTAAAATATAAGAGGGATGTTACAATAGTAAGTACCTTTAATTTTTTTTATTTGAAATAATTAATCATTTAACATTGGAACCTGATATAAAAAATTGTTAAATATGAAATATGAAAGAATTCAATAATTATCTATAGGAGGAGTAACGTCATATAATAACCAACGGAACCCAAACACGCAGCCGAGGTTGGCCAAATATTAGAACAGGCTAATCATGTGCTTACATAATGTGTACATATGCAATACATAATCATGTGCGGTTTTCATAAATGCTAGCATAGTGCTGTGGGAGTAAATAATTTTCTAAATAGAAACAAAGTTGATAATCATTTTTTGCATCTCAAAAAAACACTTAAATGTTTTGTCCTGAATCCTGTAAAATTGAAATTGGGTCGACAACCATTATGATAACTTCAAGACAATTCTACATATTCACAAAACAATTATTAGGGATTTAGGGCTCTATATGGTACACAAAATGGTATAAACATGACCTTTATAAGCAAATTAGAACCAAAGATATAAAATAAAAATGTTTGAGAAGTTTTTCTTAATTTCTAGCTTTAAAAGGAATAAAATCCAAAAGTTATTGATGTCGGTTGGAAGAGCAATAATTCAGCTTTCCAAAAGTTATATTAACATTGGAAGAAAATCCTTTCCGGAATTCCAAAAGAAAACAGAAATTTTGTTTGAAATTATATTTTTTTTTTCTCAGCTCCTAGGACCATTTGGAATGAATGCCAGGACATGTGTCCAATATTTTTTGATGTAGTATCGCCAGAAAAAATTTGATTGAAATTGGTGACCCACTGACAGTGAAGTCCCTAGTAAGTAAAATTTCCACTTTAATTATAATGAGAAATGAATAAAAATAAAATGCTTGATCACACATCAATACTTACTATTGTTGATAAAAAGGTAGCATACTTCGCTTGGCTCTTGAAGCACTTAAAGCTGTAGCTCTTACCAACCCAGGTAATTCCATATGGCCAACCAAAGCTTCATTATACAAAGGTCCAAAATATGGAACCTGAAAAATTTAATTTTAATGAAATCTATTGATAATTTAGGTGATCTTAAAGATTACCATAAATGTAATAAAGAAACTTTTAGTAAAGACTTAACAAGATTACTCACATCAGGCTTCCTTGATACTTGTATTCTATACAAATTATGGGGCAATGGGTAAATAACAATCAAAACATCACAAAATTCAGTAGGAATAATGCCTCTTCTATACTCTCTTGTATGTTCCGACCAAACAATATGCACCTCATCATTTCCCAAGTGACGAGTCTAAAACATGTTAAACAGAAACAGCAATAAAAACATAAAAAAATTGTATTCAAAAATTTTTAGTCACACTAAATAAAAATTACCTTTTGTAGCAGTGCTTCTGGATTATTAGATGGCATACGGGTAGATACATGGAATATAACCTCAGTAAATGATGTAGCATAGTACGGTGCAGTAACACCAGTCATTTTGTTTCTTTGCAAACCACCTCTAAACCCCATGTGGGTTTCAAGTTCAACCTAGGAACAGACATAAGTAACAATGTTACAGAAGATATGATATTTGAGTATGTTGGTGAGTGCCTGGTTCTGAACATTGTGGGTTCGATTCCCACCTGGGTCGGGTGATTTTCATTTCTTGGCCACCCCAGGAAATAAATCTTGACACTCCCATTCTGGTAAGTATGCGATGACAACCTGTAGGTAGCCACCAGGGGTTAGCAAAAAAGGATCTCTGGGCAGTTCCGCAAACAGTACTAGTACCAGTATCAATATTACACCATCTTTAACCATATTCTTTTATTTATAGGATGAACTGACAATAAAATAATAGTTTTACATTTTCAGCAAAAAAAAAAAAAAAAGCAAGAAGTAGAGTAATGGAGATCTGTAAGTCTTAGAAATGGTAATTCTGAAAAATTACATTATATTAAAAAAAAACACAAAAAAAAAGATTTAGGCATCATGCTTTAATGAAGAATGTGTGACAGGATAATAGAGTGTAAGTCCCAAATATAGTCTAATCATGTTTCTAAAGCTCCATTCGCTCTATTTATGAGAAAATGCAGATAATGTGTAGTTTAGGGCTTGCACAAACAGCAGAACTTACCATTAAAAACTAAAGCAATACGGTGCCTGAATTTTTTTTTGTTATTATCATCATACATTTTGATACATTAGTACATTAAATGGAAAATCTAGATATACTATTTTTTTTTTAATTATGATTTAAATTATGTTCTTAACATGTTCATGTTCACTACACTGTGTTATAGTGTTATATCGCCTACTTGGTGATAGGACTCCAGAGGTTAGAACAATATTGAGAAAGAAACTTGAGATAAAATATGTTAAACAAAATATTTAGAAAAGGAGCTTGTTGACTATTGTTAAGAAATGGAGTCCAATTTCTTTAGTTTGAATAAAAATAATTTTAATCAGATGGTCTGCCAACTTGCCTTTACTTTACAATTTAGAACTTCACAATCATTGTCAAGAGAATCCTTGGGTTCACTGAAAGAAATATGAAACATCAGAATCCTCAAAGCTGTATTTAAGGAAATCAAGTTCAACCCCAGTATAATTTTAATGTTGACAACGGACATAACAGTTGTCCAAAGTGAAAATATACAGGTGACTTGAAGTTAAAAAGGAAATTAGCAATATTCAAAATGCCATAGGCAGAGAGGGGGAAGCCGAATACAATAGTTAATTACAATGATAATTTTCCTAAGAAAGAGGGAAGACTTAAATTTAATGAGAGGAGGCCCTCCCTCCTGGGTCTGTTCCAAGATTTCAACCATCAGGCTGGATTCATTGGGACTTGTTCTGTGAATAGATGAAAATTTTTGCTACTTATAGAAACCAACAGCAGGAGACCCTGTCAAAATAATTTACAACTAAGTAGGCAATAGGATATTAAGTCATTCAGATCATGGGTAGGTAGAAATGGCCATCAATAGTTGATATTATCAAAATATCAATATTTTCCTTCTGATATTCAATATTTTACCATTGATAGTACCTACTTTGATATTATCGACTATCAATATCGTCCCTTTGATATTTTAATTTAAAAATTAAAATTAAAACTATCGTTTTTGAAAAGCGCTAGTAATTATATATGTATCTGATCATTAGAAAAAATATATACTCATCTTGCCTGTTTCATAATGTAGTCATAGTACAGGAAAATATTGATATTTTGATAATATCGACTATCGATGATCATTCCTAAGTAGAATTGAATTTGAATTGAGCGTGCGTGGGACTCTTTTCACTCAGTACAATTTGCCCAAATTTTTTAGTTAGAACCTTCTCAAACCAAGGCCACGATTTGTCAAAGAAATCTATGTAGGATGCAAATAAATTAGCATTTCGCTGAATCCAATCTATGAGAAATGAAAGGCATAATTGGTTAAATGGAAAAACCATCTGGAAAAAGCTGAGGATGACGAAGATGGAAAAGAACTAGAAAAAATGATTATAATATCGATGAAAATATCAATATTTCAAGTTCTATATTTTGATAGTATCGATAGTTAGCCTTCGATATCCCATCCTTATGGGTAGGCAATACTAGCAACTGCTGTGGTGTTCACTGAAAATTGGATTTTTTCCGTTTGGCTACAAGAACTTCAATTGACAAGAATATATTATTATTGGTTTGTTAAGGATTCTCTTATTTGTAAGTAAACATAAAAAGAAATAACAAATATTCTTTATTTTTAATAAATTATTAACTAAAATATAGACAATATGAAGAATACTCATTTCGTAAACTAACAGTTGTTTTAGACTTTTCTCAATTTTAGTTCAGCAATATTCTGTTTAAGGAAGTAAAGAAATCATATTGAACCAGAAATAAGCAATATTATCATGAGAATTAGTAGTCAAGGGCACCAGTAAGTTGATATCACTGATGCAGTTGGAGTCTTCCAAATTGTGGTCTCCCGAACTTTAAACAGATTCAGAAAAACCCTTTTCATAGTGTCTGACGGAGCCTAAATGAAGGGTTGAATGTTCTGCCAAGGGCCATACCAACACAAACCATTCGTAACCGATTGTGAGAAATTGGCCTAACATATTATACACTTAAGATGACCTGCAGGAACAGTGCATCGCCAATAACTCCGCAGAACATGGTGCAGCGAGTGCCCTAGATGAGGATACAAATTGGAAAGCTGTTATGTTTAAAGAAAAATCACATTTCTGTATTTATAGTCATTGTAGGCGCCGAGGGTACACTGCCGCAGTTTGTGCTTCCTTCAATGCAGTCTAGGGGTGCAATCTACTCATGAGGACAAGCTCTACTCCATGTTGTAGAAGGTAATTTTATTGCAGTTCGTTATGTTCAAGAAATTATAGAAGAGTACATTACTAAAATCATGCTGATAATTGGCACAGATTTACATTTTCTTGACGATAATATGAGAACTCGTAGGAGAAAATTTGTTCATCAATGTCTTCAAAACCTTCCTGTATTTTCTCCACAACTCAATCCCATTGAGCACATGTGGAATGCACTGCAGAGAAGGCTTTTTGACCACCACTTACAGTTTCTAACCTTCAGCAAATCAGAGCAGTGTTACAATGTTTATGGTATAAAATTCCATGCGAAATCAGTGATAAAAACAGTATGCTTAATAGGTGCAGAGAGGTAGCCCATAACAGAGTATATTAAACAAATTATCAAATTTTACAATTCGCAATCATAAAAACAAGATCACATAAACAGGGTGTCCAGCAAATCTCCTCCGAAAAAATTCTAGATTTTTTCCCGTTTTTTATTTTTTACTGTTTTTCTATCCTCCCCACCCGTAAATATCTCTGTTTCATATGAGGCATTTGGTTTCAAAACAGGTTACATCGATTTATTGAAACAATTATTTTTTTATTTTTCACAAGTTTTTAATGTTTATTTTTATAAAAAATATATATCAAAACTGTTTAAATCTTGAAAAATTAATACCAAAACTTTCTATTTCCTATCAAAAGTGGTTCTATACAACATTTTTTGATCAGTTCTGAAGCATTTTTGAAAATGGATGTAATCGGTTTTGAAACCAAACAACTCAAGTAAAAAATAATGAGCACAGCTGCCTATAGCATAATGTAAGCTCTTTTTTTATTTTTTATTTTATTTTATTTTTTTTTATTTTAAGGCTTTAGCCACTTGGGGCATTATTGCCTTATTTTCATTGAGAATTAGATTTTATTTTCAAGCTTAGAACCTTTCATAAAAGAAAATAGTTTATCAACCTCATTTTTATTGACCTGTAAAATGGAGTGTAAATCGTTTGTCAAGTCACAAGAGAGTCTAAATGTTTCGTAAGCTCTGCGTTCCGTTAAAATGTGTTTCACTGTCAGAGGAATCCCACAAGTTAGGCATGTTGGCGAAGAATCACGGGCCATCAGGTATCCATGGGTAAGGCGTGTATGACCTATATGCAGGCGCGTAAGAACTACCTCCTCTACGGCTATTCCTATTTGACGATGCCCAAGAGGAAACGTCACCCTTAACTTCCCTCAATTTATTTTCTGTTACGTTCGACCATATCTGTTCCCATTTTGTCTTCATTTTCTGTTTGATGACAGTTATAAAATCCTCTACAGGTACTCCCCGATAAGGTATTCCATCAGTAATAGCTTTTTTGGCAGCACGATCAGCCATTTCATTACCGGTTATTCCGCAATGCCCAGGGACCCAGACAAAAATTACTGATATATTATTTCTATTTGCGGACTTTATTGAGTACAGAAGGTTTTGTATTATGATATTTGATGAGAAAACATTTCCTAGACTAATTAGAGCGGATAGAGAATCTGTGCATATGACCATTTTTTGTTTAGTGGGCTGTATTAAACCTTTATATATTGCAACCAATTCAGCAGTATAATTATTACATAGTGGTGAAAGAGAAAAAATATGTTGACGTTCGTTACATATAATTGATGCTCCCACGCCTGTGGAGCTCTTCGAGCAGTCAGTGTAGATAAAGTCAGAATCACATAGTCTGCCTTGAAGTTTGAGAAATTCCTGTTTATATACATAAGACATTGTGTTGTTTTAAATAAATTTGGTGAGAAAAAGAAGAATTTTTGGAGAAGGAAGTCCCCAAGGATAAATTGGCGAAACTGCAGTTTCTTGAAAGATAGAAAGTTCAATTATTTAGTAAAGTTGAGACTCTGATTGTAAAGGGTGCTCTATTTGGTAATTCAGTTTGTTGTTGATTAATGTATTCCATATTTGAAAATAAATCAGTCAGTGGATGATTAGAAGCAGAACGGATCTTAACTAAGTAAATGAGGTCAAGTTGTTGTCTCCGTATGTCGAGCGGAAGCTCGCCAGCTTCGACACATAGGCTATTTGCAGGGCTGGATGGGAAAGCACCAGTAGCTATTCTGAGGGTGGCATTTTGTACAGGATCTAGCATTTTTAAAATGGTACTCAATGCCGAGTTGTAGGCATTACAGGAGATTGTTAATGGGGACCAAATATTCTGGAAATCTGCAGAAATACAAAAATTTCTGTAACAAATCTGTGATAATTTTTCAGACCAAATGTAAAAATGCTGTAAAAAGTAGCCCCTCTCAAAAGTAAACACTGTTTTGTGCTGGTCCCGTCAGATGCATCTTTAACTGGTGGTACCCAGCATTAAAATCTAATGTACTTAACACTGTCACTCCACTCAACCGATATAATATATCTTCGAACCTCAGTATCGGGTATTTCTCGTCCACAGTGTTTTTATTTCACTTCCTTTAGTGCACTACAACTCTATACTTCTAATTTTCTCCTTCTTCACTCTTTTCACCCATAGGGGGCTGTTGAATGGAGATGTACCTTCCACAATAATGTCTTGCCTTTTCGGGATCTTTAGTTCCTCCATTATATGTTGCCAAGGCGCTTGCGGATAGCTTCTTTCCTTGACATAGGTTAGCCTATCTTGTTTCAGCATACTTTATAGACCGTTTTTACTGTTGCTCCTAGTGTTTCCCCTTTGTAAACTCTGCATATTCCCTTTTAAGCGTTTCCCTCCAGTCATTCATTTGACAGATCCCGCCAATGCTCACCTTGCCCTTAATTTTGGACCTGCTACATCAATATTTCTTCTCACTTATCTAGATATCCCATTGTTCTTAGCTGTTCTGACTTTATTTATTTATGTCCACCCTCCCATGCCACAATGGCAATACGGGTGTTTGCTATAGTGTGTTTTAGGCATGAATACTTAATAACACACTACTACTAGATATGCACATATATAGTTCTTCTGTTTTTCTTCTTCCTTCTTCTTTCGGCCTAGCTTTCAGAATCTGGAGGTCTTCCTGGCGCTTGTCCTCTTCTTCTGCGAGCACCAATATGGAAGTGAGCGGGCCCCACTGCATTCTTCCATCCATTTATGAAATCCTTAAACCGCGGGAAATTTTCCTCACTGACTAACTGAGGAAACTCATTTTCAGTGAGGACATAGATTCCCGCGGCTCTTGTCATTGTCGCTCTTAACGTTTCAAACGCGGTGCAGGTCGTGACCACGTGCTCTACAGTTTCCGGAACACTACAGATTGGGCATAGAGGATCTACATCAATGCCCAGACCGTGAAGTTTAGCTCGAAATCCTCCATGCCCCGTGAGGAACTGGGAAATCCAGTAGTCCGGGAGGACCCACTTTGCCTGAAGCCTCGACTGTACTGTGGGAAAGTACTTCCTCAATGTACTTCCTTTAGGGGTTGTTACCCACCGCCGGTTCCATGCTTCAATTGTATCCTCCCGGAGTATCTTCTTCCACCTATTAGGCGCTTCCATAATCCTCACCTGTAGATTGTCCGAAAGTACTGTAGAGCCTTCTATCTTGTATGAATATTTCGTCACTTCTTCTAGTAGGAGGAGGTCGAGAGGCACCACCCCCGCTAGAACCTGCACCGCTTCATGCGAAGTTGTCCTATATGCTCTGGTGACCCGAAGCAGAGCTGTCCTCTGAGTCGAGGCTAGCCTTTTTTTTTGTCGTAGTGTGAGGTTACGGAACCAGAAGGGAGACGCATACCTCAGGATACCCTCCACAACTCCTTTATATATCGTGATTGTGGCTGGATACCTAAGGCCCCAGAATGCGCCTCCCACGCGAGTTAGACCGTTCATTGCTAGGGCCACCCTACCTGCCATATATTCCAAGTGAGGTGTCACATTTAGGCCTAAACCTAACCTAACTCCTAGGTAGGTTACCACCTCACTTGGACGTATACTTTGGCCTTCTATATTCATTGTTATAGGGTGTGCCCTCTCAGTCTTGCCCTTGAGGAGAATGGCTTGAGTCTTGGCAGCAGCCATCCTCATTTTCTTTCCCTCACACCACCTCGCGACCAGGCCAGCGCATCGCTCAGCTTCTGTCTTGACTCCAGCTCTGCTGTTTGAGGCCACCACAGCAGCTAGGTCATCAACGTAGGCAGTAGCAGGGAACCGCTCTTCCTCTAACACTCCCAGAAATTCATCGAAGACAAGCTTCCACAGAGCAGGGCCAAGGACTGATCCCTGAGGGCATCCCCTCTCTATGGAAGCTTCTACCTCATAGTGATTCCCTCTGATCTTGACACGCCTGTCATGGAGGTAGCTTCTTACAAGTGAGTATAAATTGCTGGGAGCATCGTATTTCTGCAGCTGCTGGAGCACGCTAGGCCACCATACACTGTCGAAGGCGGAAGATATATCAAAAAGCAATAGCATAACATAACGTTCCGCCCTCTCTTCAACATCTTGGCGCACTCTCAGCAGAGCATCAGCGGTCCCTCTGCCTCTAGTTGAACCATATTGCCGTGGATGGCTAGCTCTGTCGAAAACAGGGCGTAAGCTAGACATCATGAGGTTCTCCAGGACCTTGCTCATCACAGGGAGGAGACATATAGGTCTATATGAGTTAGGGAGTTGCTTATCTCTATCTCCTCCCTTGTAGAGGAGTCTCAAATCAGCAATCTTCCAACTTCGTGGGAAGTATCCCGTATCTAGACACTGATTGAAAAATCTTAAAATATGATCTTCAATATACGGAATACTGTTCCTTAAGATTGCCGCGTCTATTGCATCAAGACCTGGAGAACGATTCATTTTCTGCCTATCCACGGCAATACGAAGATCGTGAATGTCCCATGGTGGGCATAAATCTGACCCGGTCGGATACACCGTGGTACGCCTCACAAAAGCGTCATTTTCGCTGTCCTGGGCTGAATCATCCCTGGGGTATATTGCTTCAATGAAAATACTGGCTGTCTCTTCCAGGGTGGTTGCCTGAGTATCTTGATATTTCAAAGCTGCAATAGTCTGCAGCGGGGTCAGCTTACCCAATGCCACCCTGTACGGAATACCCCAGGGATTCTTCGAGGACTCTTGGACGATGAAATCCGTAGCTGTTCCGACTTTTGCATCCATCCGAATACATATATCCTCAAATTGTCTATCTACTCAATCCTGTAACTACTTCTTCCTTCACTTTACATGGAACCCCCAAGGTGCATACCTGTATCTGGGATGTCCTCTCTCCTTCACACAATCTCTCTATCGCATTATGACACATTATAGTGTTTGAACTGGCAGTGTTGACCAGATACCACACTCCACTCGCGAATATGATAACAGGCAACCCACCACACTCTATACTGCGTGGTTGCCCCTCTGCTTTCACTCCTCTCATTCTTCAAGTCGGGCTGACATGAAGAATGAGGGAAGAGAGCCTACTTTTTGTTTTCATACGTCCTCTACCTCCTTCCTTCACTTCCTCGGTCTCCTGGTCTGCTTACTTCTTCCGTTTCTGAGGCTTCCATAGACTCAGCTGACTAGGATGGTAATCTGCTCTTTCTCCAGACTCTGAACATTAACTTCCATGGGTTCTGCTCAATTTGCCTCTCTGCCCCTGCTAAGGTTAGGACACTGTCGAGTAATGTGTTCTTTGGTTCCACCCTCGAAACACCTGATACGCGGGCATTGTGCTACCATGTCCCAACTTTCTCCACCCATGGCACTTCATCTCTTCCCTTTTCCCATTTCTCCATTCCTTCCCGTGCCTTTTTTCTCCCACTATCATTAACTACCATCTCACTTCTTCTCCATGCGACGGGCTTGGCTTTGGTCCTCCTGTAGCTGTCCCTGCTCCATTCCTGGCTTCTTCATTCCTGCACTGGCATCTACCATATCTTGGGCACATTCTAAGAATGCCTTCCCCTCGGTAGTCCCTCCTTTCATCATGTCTCTCAGGAGCTGGTCTTTCAGGATTGTTGATAGGAATGCCATCCTAGTCTTACGGTTTCTCTCATATTTTCTGTTATCTTGATTTTTTGGGCTAATAGCAGGTCCGCATATTGCCCATTCGTCTGATGGTGCTGTTTTTTCTCCTGGAACATCTGCAATATGTCCTCCTCTGGGGACCACCGGACACCTCTGAGAGCCTTCCTCAACCTGTTTCTTACAGCTACAAAAGGCTTGGGTCAGTCTCTTCATCTGCTTGAATCGGGTTCAACATTCTCTGCTTGACCAGACATAATAAAACTGCTTTCAACAAGTCTACGTCACCTGAGTCTAACAAATTTCCAGTCGTCTTGGCTTCGATTTGTGTCATTAGCTGATCGCCTCCCTTGAGAAAATGGTTCAATTCTCCCATCCCCCCATCAAATTTCTCTAGGTCTAGGTCTACATTCTCTGCTTTACCAGACATAATAAAACTGCTTTCAACGAGTCTATGTCACCTGAGTCTAACAAATTTTCAGTCATCTTGGCTTCGATTTGTGCCATTAGCTGATCGCCTCCCTTGATAAAATGGTTCAATTCTCCCATCCCCCCATCAAATCTCTCTAGGTCTGAAATTTCTTTCCATAGGTTCTGAGATGTTGATATATAATTTTGACTACCTATTCATAATATAACTTTGAAGGAAATAAAATGTCTACAACTTCCTTCCAGTAACTTTTCCTGTGGAATTAAATGCTGAGGAATTAAAAGGACAATTTTTTAAAAAATATGGGCCTAAAATCAATTTCCACAAATAGTCTATTTAAGATGGTAAATATCTTGAAAACTATAATAGATACGAACAAAATAAATAGGAAAACTATGGAAGGAAATTTTGTAACTTAAATGTTGAATAATTTTTTTCTGTATGATGCACTGTTTTTGGGATATTAGTAAAAAAAACAAAATGATAACTTTTTAGTACGTCCTCGACCATAAAATTATAAGGTAAAGGATGGGACTTTTAATATGTTTACCTCCTAATTACGACTAACAAATTCCTGAAATCAAATGCATTCCTCTGTTGATGCACCTTACAAACTCCTTTTTGTCATTCATTGACTGGACTAATATACATGAAGTAGGAGATGGTAAGGGTGGCAGTAAAAGATAAACAGAAAAAAAGTACACCAATAATGGACAACTGGGAGCGGCATAGCTCAGTGGTAGGGCACTAAGCTTCTAATGCTCGAGGTCCCAGTTTTGAATCCATGTCCATGGCAGAAAAATTATTTATTCTGTTTAATTGGTCATGGGGTGACTCTGGGGTCGGAAGACTCTTCTGGAGCACAACCAGCCTCTATAAAGTGGGTACACTTAATTAAATGATTAAGGAGGAAAACTTGGCAGTTGAGCATGATCCTGGACCGATAATCAAGGCCAATGGTTGTGCAGGGAGGGCCCTGCACAACCGTTGGCCTTGAACAGTACTTTCCCTAAATAGTACTGAACCCAAGATCCTTCTTGGGTTGTAATGGTACAGGTATTTTTTTTCTTTAATAATGAACAACTATTCCATAAATGTAGAACGGACTTTTGGAAGTACTGTAAATAATTTTATTTTTAGGCACTATATAGTTATAAAAACTTAATCCAAATGCATCAGTAGCCAATTTATCAAATAGAACAAACTACTTACTTCCCAAGCTAAGCCTGCAATAAAATCTTCATATGCCTGACTTCCGCCAGAATTAGAGAGAATTGAATTTTTGTCTTCTTGACCTTGTGCAACATATATAACAGCAACTTTGTGTGTTTGTCGACAACGCTATAAAAATATCACAGCATGAGTCAATCAGAATATAGTAATTAATTTTAATCAAGTCATTCTTATCTATTTTACAAATATATAAATACTATATTAGTATAATGTTTCTTCTATATCAACATATTTATGTGAAAAAAAATGACCAGCCATGAGCAATTAATCCAAAGGAATAAAAAGATTAAAACAGAACAGATATCTTAATAATAATTTATAAAACAAATTATAAAGATTAACCATTAGTTCATTATTAAAAAAAAAAAAAAAATTCCAATGAACAAATTCCCTAAAAATATAATTTGGGCTGAACCAATTGGTAAACCTCAGAATTGGGTTATAAAGATTGTTGGTACTTATTTCAGATTTGCTAAGCCTTTTATTATTACTATTATCATATTAAACTTTAAAAATCAGTTTGTAAGATGAAAAATTAAAAAGAACTATCTCTTCACACGTTTTTTAAAAGATCAAGAAGCCATGGTGTCTAAACAATAAAACATCTTTCACCTAAAATTTTCAGGGATTTACTATATAATACAGATGGTCAGATAGTACCAAACTATGCTCTATAAATCACTTTGAAAAAATGCTTTACTAGAGGGAATAGAAAAATAAATATTATGATTTGCCTAGGCCTAGATAGTATGTTGCTACTAAAACAACTTTTTTACAGGTGTGATGGAAACCAGATTGAAAAATCTGTGTCCTGGCCAAGAGGGATAACATAATCCAGGGGGAAGATTTTAGTACTAGTTTGCATAATGAGTGATGCCGGAATTGGAGCAAGCCAGAGTTAAGTAAGTTAACTGTAAAGTATAGATCCAATTAGTGAAACCTCTAAACTTGACAGTTGAAGTGGATATGAATAATGTTACCTTGAAAAATCAAGCAACTAAGAAAACAACAAACAGGCAAAGATGGGCTCTGAGAGTATTCCCATTACATTTGGAATACGCCTAAACTATATAAAAAAGGTTAATCAAGGTTTATAGTGACCTTGGAAAGAAAATGCTGCTTCAAATGAACAGGCACATTTTTAAGAAAGTTACAGGATTAGGTACTGTTTGCAGTAGCCTGAATAACCATTTTTTTAAAAATAAAGTTGATAGGATCCTCTATTTGAGATTTTGTCATTTGGAAGATGAAACTGCTTATCACATCATCTGTCAATGTGATAAATTTTCATACTTAAGAGAATGTGCTGCATTTTGATCCCTAAGCTTAGTGTATTAATCAACCACTTATAGAGATTCGCTAATACAATTGATCTTTTCAAGGAAAGTTGATAATACGAGGCACACAATGAGCCTAAATAGGCCTAGTTGAACTAAAGCAAA